CATGCCGACAGTAAAAAAAAAAAAAAGTATTTATACGCTTTTTACTCTGAGTTCTGTTGCATCGGTTTAGCTCAATGGTTACATCTTACTCAGCGGTTTCCATCCAACGGCCCGCGGGCTGAAGGGTTCAACCATGGGCGCTGTCCGATGTTTTTTCCCTCTGTTGTCTCCTCTTTATTCTGTGGGACAACAGATCACTTACATCACATTTATGAAAAACAACAACAATTATTTAAGCATAGAGTTATGTCTATGGAGAAGCAGCCTGTATTCCAGACCATGTCATTTTGCTCAAGTGCTTAAAACTCACATTTTGATACTCACTTTTATTTATTTTTGTTTGTTTATTTTTTGTTCTACATTTTGCGATGTTTTCTCCCGAGAAACAAATAATGTATCTCTCTATGCTTTGTTTGGACATGTGAACGCAGCTCAGACATACCAGTTTGTCTCCAGTAGGAGTCGCTGTGCTCAACCTGTACTAAACATTCAACGAGGCTTTTTACTAGTTGTCTGTTTGGATTAAAGAACTGTCCAACACTGGAACTCCAATTGGGAGTGAAAATCCACAATTATGTACCTACATACAATATAATCAAACGATTTAAACTTCATAAAATTAGCTGATTTATTTAAATCACATAAACCATTCATCTGAGCTGCTAATTGATATTTAAAAAGCATGTATCCTATTTGGCCTATGTTTCTTCAAGAAGTCAGTAAGTCAATGTCTGGTATAAACTGTAATTTTTAGTTGCCATCAACGCATATCTAACTATTTATTTTGGTAAAGCTTCCACATGGACATTTGTGTTATATACGTAGCCTTGTATTTTCCAGGCTACCACAATTGCACAAGAAAAATGCTAAGACCACGACAGTAGTCCTAATAGTCAAGTTAACTGGTATGATGACCTACCCAAACATTAAAAGTCACTCTTAAGGGTTACTGATGGTTTTAACATTTTAGTCATTTTTTACAGCTCTTGTTATGTAGGCTATTTTTTTTCACTCTCAGGGATACAGTTATTTAATCCTTCAATTCAGAAGACCCCCAATAGACAAAACAAATACTTACCTGTGTAAACCTCTACAGTGGTGAATCAATGAATGATGCAATAGTACAACATTATAATAACTAATAATAAAAAAGCACAAATACAGCACTAAAGAACACATTTGAAACGATTCAGAAAAATACTTTAAATATCATCTTACTGAGTCGGACTATACATTTGATTACAGAATATTTAAGGTTTAGACAGCAGTGCATGATGGTCTCGATTTTGTCCAGAGCTGTTATGCAGATGAACATCCGGTAGATGGCGCACTAAGATCACAGATTAAAAAAAAAAGCAAAACACAACGGACAATAATAGCATCTGATGGACATATAATAAGAAAAATAAAATCCTGATTGATGTTTCAAGCTATATGTTAATGAATGCAATTAAAATCGGTCCCACTCACAGTATGTGATTTAAAATTCGAATATGCCTATAAAATGCTTGTATGAGACATGCCTTCAGTGATTATTCTGTAATCGTGTTCCTGTATATTCATTTAGCCAGAAGAGTAGACTTATTGTCACATCTGTAGCACCAGTTAAACACACCTCATATTTATGTTCTCAATTTGTTTAAAATTGATTCGGTTTTGGAACCATACTAGTCTTTTTTCTGAAGTCATTCAAAGCAATATGCTGTTTGTGGAAATATGGTGTATCAGGTTAATTATATGTTTAAAAACTGTAATAACATACGTAAAAGTACAATGGTTTGAGGGCTGATCACATTTAGCCACAAAGCCCTCAGTGCTTTCAGTCCGTGATTTTGAAAGTGTTGATTAGGGACAACAATTGGCATATCCTTGCTGTGGTTACTTTAAGTGCAGCAATACTTTTTACAATGTCACAAGCAAAATGCCCACAGGTGAACAGTTATAGTTATGTTCAGAAATCAAAGAAATATCGATTGCTTTTAAAATACACAGGACATGGTATTTCATTCTATTTATATTATGCTATATTTCATATATACAGTATAATGTATAGTATTTAACAATATTTATATAGGGTAACATTTTGTATAACACATGATTGTTCAATGTTTATATTTGTTTGGCTTGTCATTTTTGTTGATTTAGAGCCTCTATCTGTATCTTCCCTGGAAAATTGTATTGTAAGTATTTTTATAAATTATTATTGGTATTCAATGGTCATATGAGTGGTAGTGATGTTTATAAGCATATAGAGCACTATAGATGATCTGATTAAAGTTCCCTGTTTCAAAAACAGGCACATGAAATGTATTGTAAAACTATTGTGTTAAGAAAACGTTCATTGTTTTTTTGTATTAAGCCTACTTTAAGTGCCACCTCAGTTACTCAGCATTGTGTTGATGAGAGATGACATTAAGATTGAATAAAATGCCTATTGTTCCACCTTTATATTTACACTGTCGAAACGTATCCAGTAGATGGCGTAATAGGATCACACATGAAATTTAGTGGTTCAGTTGACCTGCCTTGTACACTATATAGTGGTTAAATGAAACACAGCCTTTACCTGTTTAACTTTAATTTAATACAATAAATAAATAACGCATGCTTGTTTGTATCTAGCTGTGTAAAGTACACGACAAGTTTCCATCCAGTGGAGTCCTTTAATCAGCCTTGACCCATCATCACCCTCCTCCTCCCTCGACTCTCAATGCAGTATGAGGAGTAACAGGTCACGGTCAGGTGGCTGCTGAGCGGCAGTTCAGAGAAAGTAATGGCTGTCTTCCTGTCGGACAATGGGCTGAGCGAGGCGATAGGGGCGGATGAGACCGGCTTAATGCTCCGTGTAATGCATGTTAATGTAACCGGCACCGAGGGACCGCCGGCCGTAGCGCTTTGGGATTATTTATCACAAAACATTTGTATTCTTCCGTAGGAGAACGCTTGATCCCGGATAGCTGCACACTAATCCTTCACTCCGTTAATTAAAAAGAAGGGGAAACCAATGGAACTGGTGGTGGTGATTTTTTTTTTCCAGAAATGTAATCATTTCTGGAGAAGCTTAACCATCTGCTTGAGGTTAAGTCTGCAAGCAGATTGTGTTTTCTGCTTATTTAAACCTGGGGATTTTAGTTTTTTTTTTTCCTGAAAAGGGGAGGGTGATGGATTTCTGGGGCTGCATGTTGGAGAGTTAGGTCGGCGACATTGTTTGTACACAGGGAAAGTAAAAGTGATACTTCTTATGTAACAACACAAAAAAGAAGAAGAAGAGGAGCATTTGAATCAGTAGATATGAGTTTTTATTAAGATGTAAGACATGACCCTTTGTTATCAAGCCCTACACATATCAGACTGGAAATAAACCACACAGAAACTTAATCCCACCTCCCTTTTCTGAGTCCTAAAGTTATTATTCACAGTTGGCTTAAAAGAAAATGTAAAAAAACAACCACTATTCCCACTGGACCCTTTTAAATTTTGTTCAAGGGAAATGATCAAAACATCATTAGACATCAACGTTGCTTGTTTCTCTGATCAGTCTCACAAAGGACCAACGGACAACACAATTTACGACAGACTCCAGGTTTTTGGGGCAGTGTAATAGAACATTTTCGCATCTTGTGTAGAAGAAAAATTCTGCCTCTAGGAAGCAGAAATTTGTTTTTTCTTGTTCTTTTCCCTCATCTCCTTCCCCCTTCTTTCTTCTTCTTTTTGAGCAGCTAACAAGCCCTGCACTGCCCGGAGGCCAACGCTGTGTCGTCAGTCCCAAGAAGAGACTTTTAGATTTCTAGCCACCGTTTTACATTAGGATGCCACTCATGTCTGTGTGGAGACGAACTAGAATCCACAAAGGCATCCTTCAGTTTCTCTCTCTCATTCTCTCTCTCTCTCGATCCCTCGCTATGTGGCTCAGTGGTTGTCTAACTGACCAGGATTAAGAGGGAAAAGATTAGATGTGAACAAACATGTGCCGCACTCTAAAGAGGCCCAACTCGTCCTCTTTGTCCTATAAAAACTAAAGAGCTCAGTGACAGTACTTTCATCAAATGGTGTGTGATTTCAGAACTTGAAAACATCCATGTTCGACCTTTTCTGTCATCTCACAAACTGTAAACACCTATGGGGATTTTCTTTTATCTGATCCCAACGATTATACCTGATTAGAGACAAGTATTATTAAGGCGTTATGACATTGCTTTTATGTTGATTGTGTTGATACATGTTCCCAACTTAAGTGAATTAATGTCGTGTAATGCGCTTGTATGTGTATAACCCGCTCGTGATTATCATTGTAATCATTGTAAGCTCTCAAATGTAGCTCCCACTCATTTAAATGCTGATTAAAATGGAAAAATCGCAATGATCCATCAGAGCTTCTTTTTGTAACACACACTTTAGTGTGTGATGATTAATGAATGGGGCTGTTATTGCAATGTGGGAATTCATCTTCAAAGGGCTCTTGTTAAAAAGCATTATAGGATCCCAGGAGCCCACTGGCAGTGTCCACTGGCTCACTAGAGCCAACGCGAGTTGCTCAGGCCTGTGTTTATGTTTACTGCACTGCAAAATGTAACAGGGGGCTCCACCTGAACATTGCATCATTTTTCTAAAGTTATAATAGTCTAATAATCAATCAAAGTAAAATAGTGGCAGCTACAGATGTCGTGACAAATCCTTGTCTAGCAGCATCATCTGTTAAATTCAGCCTGGAAAACGACACCCACCACACAATTTGTCCCCTAATCCAAAGCTGGCTCTGACGTCTGGTGTCAAATTTACCGCCTTCTCGTCTCTTTAAAGGGTCAGAGGAACAGACAGCGGGATATGAAAGGGTTAAACGTCTACAGTAATTAGAGGCGCACTTCGCGTCGGCGTCCTCCAATACGGAGCAGCGAGAAGCTACGCCCCCCCTCCTCTCTCTCTTCAACACGCACACACACACATATACACACACACACGCCTCCCCACCAGCTACTCCAAGTGTCTAATACACTGGAAAATCAAAGCGCGAGCCACCCCCGTTCACTCACCTCCGGTGTTGCGCGTGGAGCACAACAGAGAGGGAGAGAGATGTTTTTCTCTCCCATCCCCTCAGCTTAGCGTTATAGGAAAGTTATTCTTATACGTAGATGTTACAGTTATATGTAAGGTTTTTCTTTTTTTTATTTAGGACAGACTGTGTGTATTTATGCACTTTTTAGCTGTCCAGCTGTATGAGGCGAGGGATGTCTGGATGAGGTGATTTTACGCACGCAGTTGAAATGGATCAGAGACTCTCCAGAGGCAGTTGGGTACCAGTGACAGGGCTGGTCATATGTCTGCTTCTGTGTGCGTGTGTAGTGGACCTGGTTCTTGCGCAAATTCGGTACTCCATCCCCGAGGAACTAGAGCATGGAGCCTTTGTGGGGAACATCGCCGAAGACCTGGGCTTGGATGTGGCCAAGCTGTCAGCCCGTCGGTTTCGTATAGTCTCCGGCGCAAAGAAGCAATATTTAGAGGTGAACTTGGAGAATGGCATCCTCTTCGTCAACGAAAAGATAGACAGAGAGGAGCTATGTGAACGAAGCCCGAGCTGCTTTTTACACTTACAAGTAGTAATTGAAAACCCATTAGAATTATACAGAGTTGAAGTAGAAATTTTAGATGTGAATGACAACTCCCCAAGTTTTCCATGGAGCGAGTTTAATCTTGACATCACAGAGTCGGCTGCGCCAGGCTCCCGTTTCCCGTTAGAGAGCGCACAGGACCAGGACGTGGGCACAAACTCTCTGCGCTCCTACCAGCTGAGCGCAAACGAGCACTTCGTGTTGAATATCCAGACGCGCAACGATGGAAGCAAGTTTGCTGAGCTCGTGCTGGACACCCCCCTGGACCGAGAACAGCAGAAAAAGCATGAAATGGTACTCACTGCTATTGATGGGGGGTCACCGGAGCGCTCCGGGACAGCACTGATAACTATCACAGTGTTAGACGCAAACGATAACGTGCCAGTGTTTGACCGCTCAGTTTACAGAGCGAGTCTGGTTGAGAACGCACCGAGGGGGACGCAGGTGCTAAAGCTGAACGCCACAGACCTGGATGAGGGCTCTAATGGTGAGGTGACCTATGCGTTTAGCGGGCACGCACCCTTAAAAGTGAGAGAACTCTTCAACGTGGACCCGTACACGGGTGAAATTCGAGTAAAGGGCATTGTGGACTATGAGAAATCCAGTGTATATGAGCTGTATGTACAGGCTAAAGACAGGGGACCCTCGGCTGTGGCAGTGCACAGTAAAGTGCTGGTGGACATCCTGGATGTGAATGACAACGCTCCCGAAGTCATCCTCACATCAGTTTCCACTCCTGTGCAGGAAGACGCGCCACCGGGCACAGTGATAGCTGTCATTAGTGTCATGGACCGGGACTCAGGAGAAAACGGAAACGTTGACTGCCAAATACCAAGCAACGTCCCCTTCCAGCTCCACTCATCTTTTAAAAACTATTACACTTTGGTGACGAGCGAGTTTCTGGACAGGGAAGCCGTGTCCGAGTACAACATCACCCTCACAGCACGAGACTTGGGCTCCCCTTCGCTCTCCACCAGGAAAACCATCCTCGTGCAAGTGTCTGACATTAATGACAACCCCCCGCGGTTCGCTCAACCTTCATACACTGTTTATGTGACAGAGAATAACGCCCCCGGCGCTTCCATTTGCTCTGTGACTGCATTCGACCCCGATTCTAACCAGAACGCCTATCTGTCTTATTCTATTCTCGAGGGTCAGATTCAGGGCATGCCCGTGTCCACTTATGTCTCAATCAACTCCGACAATGGCAACATCTACGCACTGCGCTCCTTCGATTATGAGCAACTTAGAAACTTTCAGATTCTGGTTCAGGCACAGGACGCTGGGTTCCCGCCTCTCGCAAGTAATGTCACAGTCAACGTTTTTGTGTTGGACCAGAACGACAATGCACCTATTATTGTGTCCCCGCTGCCCAAAAACGGCACCGTGGCAACAGAGGTGGTTCCGCGGTCAGTGGACTCTGGGTATCTAGTTACCAAAATAACTGCGTTAGACGCGGACGCAGGGCAGAACTCCCGGCTGTCTTATCAGGTGTTGCAGGCTACAGACCCCGGACTGTTCAGTGTGGCTCTGTACACGGGAGAAATCAGGACTATTCGCAGGTTAGTGGAAAAAGACGCTACAAGGCAAAGGCTGGTAATATTAGTCAAGGACAACGGGCAGCCGCCGCTCTCCGCCACCGTCTCTATTGTCCTCACAGTCGTAGACAGCGTGCCCGAGTCGCTGTCAGATTTCGGAGATCTCACACTCAGCCCACAGCCCCCCTCCAACCTCGCTCTCTACTTGATCGTGTCACTGAGCACAATTTCTTTAATATTCCTGGTGGCAATTATCGTGCTGGCTGCGGTCAAGTGCTACAAGGACAGGGAGACCGTCAGCGGCTACAACCTCCCCCCGTTCGCCTGCTGCTGTTGCGGGGGGTTCCAGCCGGATC